TTCTAATACTACGAGAAGTTTGCTATTAAACGATATTAAGCTTGCTTGCAAAACAGTTCACCTTTAGAACAAATTTTTCGATTGAAAAAACGGCCATTACTTATCGGCCAACCTAATAGAATATTTTTGTGGCAGGGATCTCCGCGGAGTGTGATCCAGAGACCATGCTTGCGACCTGCCCCAGCCTCTTCCCACGACAAACAGTATAAAATGACACAAAAAAGAGAAATTACGCAAGCTTGTTTCAGATTATGGCCGCTGATAAGTTCGGAGAACTGCATATGGACAAGCCGGTAGATTTCAAAAAATGTCGCATTTTTTATATGTTTGGAAATAAACACCCCTTGGTTGAGCCCTTAGGGGACGTTATGAAGGAAACATTGCTAAAGGTGAGTTTCGATGAAAATTTGAAAAGAAAGCTTTACGATTCACTGAAAAATGTCTGGCCTTATTTTGTTTCTTATCTCAGGCTGTGTCTCACTTCGAGAACACATTCGACTTAGAAGGAGTAGGCCTCGATTTGCCGCTCACAGTGTATCATCCCGATTTCTACTCAGCAAGTTCAGAAGGGAACTTACCGTTGTCTAAAAAAGCGCTCAGTCTGCATGTAGGCCTGTTTCTACTAGCTCATCTGCTCAGAAAAATCATCTACAATAGTATCATTAGGGTGATGCCGGCACCTTGAGCGCCTGTAAAGAGCTACCAAATATAATCACCGGCAAATCCCATCACACTCTGGCTGTCCTCCTCGTTATATTCATGGAATCGCTCAAGAAGGGTGACAAGGAATCCAATGAAAAGGTTTCTATCACGTTTTTTGCATTCTGACTTACTACCTGTCAGTTCCTCATCGTTTTGCCTTCACAGTTCATACGGATACGTGATCGACTTAAGCGTCAGATTGTCGAAACGCTTGGAGATAATGGACTCCTCTTCGTTCCCTCGTAAGTTTCACTTTTTCTACTGAAATCATTGCATAATTTGTATAATCCCATGGCCGATTTGCAAGGGATTTCCAAGCCTGTGCAATATAGTCCCGCATAAATCTACTTCTAATTTGGATTCCTCGGATTGCAAAAGACTTGGTTGGCCCTGGCAGGAGCCGATCCAGGATTTGACCCGCGGATTACGCGAATGGTAAGCAGTCCGCTCGCTACTACACTACCGCCTCCTGCAAGATTCACTAAGTATAGTAAAGCGGAATAAGAGATCAGGCAGGCACAACATATCGGCAGTTTCAATGACCAGAATTAGAACAAGTACTTCCTCAATGTTTTCAACGTGATCCAAAACATCACAATTAATCCATAAATCAATTCCCCTCGTATTTTGGGAGAAGTATTTATAAGTAGGGCCACCACCCTTGTACAAGTATTTTTACCCTGGTACGAAACTAGGAGTTGGTCGGCTATGGGAGAAATGAAGAACATCTGAAGCACTTAGCGCTAAGCATGAACAAAATTCTCACCTGCATTACTGTAAGACTTTTGGAATGCCCTTCATCTTACTAGGGAAGGTCCGTCAGGTCGACAGCTGGCATTTTGATAATGAGATGTAGCTCACAGACTGTGAATTGAACGCTGATCTCGAATCTGCCTTTGAAATTTGCAGAACGATTCTCTGAACGGAGTTATGGAGCTTTTTCCACCGCGTTTACCACGCAACAGGTCGTGGGATCGGATCCCTGCTGAGCTTAACTTTTTTGCTTCTTGTGTCAAACGTGGCAAAAAGTGGTTGTAGCGTCACTACTACATTAGCGCTCTCCTTGACTTGCCTGAAAAACAGTTTGTGTTCGCTTACTGGCGCGCTTAGTGCCTTATGATCTAGGAGAATTTTTGGATGTACAGGTGCCCTTGGCGCGGAGTGCAGGCGTTTTCGCGCTGAGTAGCCAATCTTCGAGTTTATCGGGGCGAACTCCGCCTAGGTAGAGGTTTCTAGCCAGATCTGGCATTTTGATCCGAATTTGGAAACTGAAGCATCCATGGGTTTTGCTTCAATTGGATTGTTAAACATTATTCAGCTGCAGATACATTCTCCTGCACGAGAGCCTCGTCTCCCCTCTTCTTACGCATTCATTTTATTACTGCTCCAGTTTTCCTGGTATCTAAAAGCAAATTCTGTCCAAAGACAAGCAATCGACAAGAGACTGGCCCTGGAAGTATTGGTGACCATCATTCGATCAACTGCTACCGCACTTTTCAAAGTTAGGTCAAAACCTCACATCTGGCTAGAAACCTGTCCCCAAGGATAGTTTTGCTTCCTGAACACGAATATGGCACCCATTTGGCGTTTCAGTGATTTCTAAACTTGAAAATAGACATTCCCCAAAAAATGCAAAACAAATGCCCTTCCACAAATCCGAACCCTTCATAGCATGCCCGTGAAGCAAGACCATTACCACTACACCATGTCACCGTTGAAGGTAATGGTGCTTCCCGGCTATTCATGCAAATGGCTGGCAACCGCGCTTGACTCCGTATAACTTCATTTAAATTCTAACAAACCTTCATAATTCCGTTCAGAGAATCGTTCTGCAAATTCCGAAGGCAGATTCGAGATCAGCGCCCAAAACCACGTCTAGTGAGCTACATCTCCTTACAAATGGCCACTTCGACCTGACGACCTTCCCTAGTTAGCTGATTTGCACCGGAGACCCATCACATTTGCTTTGAGGGCCACGGTCTTCAGCCGGTGGATAAACCCCTCCCCAAATCTTACCACTTACTTTCCTAGATTTTCCTAATCCATGTCGGACCAAAGACCAAGTACGAACCCCGTTCCTCCCCGAACGAATACGATATCCCACGCTGGGGATTCCCCAACAAACGAGTACGCTGGTAAGTACCAATCGCTAAGTGGTCTGGCGTACTGTGGCGGAAATCTGTAAAAAAGCGAGCTCCTTAGGAAGAAGTTAATCACCGAGTATTCAGGCTATTCTCCGCGGTGACATCGGTGCACACCTTTTTCAGCGAAACTGATTTTTAACAATAACCAGTAATACATTTCTCGGTTCCAAAACTAGCTCCAATACGCTCCGCCTCAATTTGAATAAAGTCAAAACTCTCTTTTCATTTGTAGCTTTCAATAGGTAACCAGCTCCTCTTCAGATGGCCGAAACCTGCACCGTTTCACAATGAGACGCTTTTCGCTATACTGAACACGGCCTATACGGCCATGTACAACGCACTTGCACTGCCCGTCATCCAATGTCCGATGGGTCTTGACAACAAAGGCATCCCTCTTGGAGTACAGGTACGTATGTACTGATAATCCGCTTCTAAAAATATCAATTTCCGTCGTTCGAAACCACTGCTAATGGAAAATAAGGGTTGAGCCCTTCAAGTTCTACTTTCCTGTATTTTTTGAACTTTCACCTATAGATTGTGGCTGCCCCTGGATGCGATCGACTTCTAGTGGCAGCAGCGAAGGAGATCAGTGCCACGTTCGGAGGATGGAAACCTGCCTGGGAGCAGAAGTAAACCCAGTAATCACATCGTATCTGTGGTTTTCAATATTGTTGTAGCTGAAGTTTCAGCAATTTTAGTTTGCTCGTAACTAATCTGCCATAATACCAAACATGACCAGAATTTCTCATTAGTAATGAACATAAAATCGCAATAACAAGTACGGTAATGACGACTGCACATCATCACCGGACACGGTAGTTCCAGATGTAATAGACTTAAGGGACAAAATGTACACTCACCTTCGTGGATTTCGGTGCTTGCCATCTGCGAGACGAATGAGTCCGCAGTTCCAGTAGCATGCCAGTTTCTCCACTCAAAAGTCCACGGGAACGGGGCTGGAGGACAGCGATACCCAGATGCCGTTTCCCGACTCCGCCACGGCTATCTATCAGGTACAGCACTTGCGTTACTACCAAAATTACGCAGCGAACGCGTAGTCAGAGGTAGAGAACGACCAGCAGTGAGAGGGCGCAGACAAGTAGCGCGCCTGGTCATGGTTCAGGTGGCTGGCTGGGCGTGCGAGTGTAAGGTCGGAAATGGGAGACGGCGGCCGACTATCACTACCCTCCAACGGCTCTGATTCAAATTTCGCAAAATGATTATGCAGTTTTTCACGGGATGCTATTCTATCATCCATGATCACACTGGACACCATCCCAAGCTCCGCTCTCAAAGCTACGCCCATTTTTCGACGCGATCATGGCTTTTCATAATCCATTTCACAACTTCTGCTTCTTTGCCTTTTTTGCATTGCCTTTTCACTCACATACAATAAATAATAGACGCCCATCCCCACTCACAGGCGGAGTCCGCTCATTTTTTAGCGGATATACTCGCAATGTAAAACACATAAAAGGGGCGCCAAAAACTTGCTCACATACAACAAATAATAGACTCTTAGATCTAGCATAGTGAGGGCTCAGCTGCAGAACGATGTCCAGTTGGTAAATTTACCAGTCGGATCGGCCGGCTTCGCCGGCCGATCCTCCTTCCGGGTGTGAAGTGGGTCCCGGTGAGAAGTTTTCCATGAGAGGGAGGGCCAGTCGGATCGGCGAATGGTCGAAAAAAATTGTTTTGAGAATTACCGCACTTTACCGTTTCACTGCTTGTATATA